CGAACATGATCTCACATGGGCTGTATCGGAAACCAAGGGGAAATGAACTCAGCCAAGCGCCAATTTCAGCCGTAGAATATTACCAAGAGAAAGCGATGCCATAACGAGGCACGTTCAGATCCGGAGAAATCATCTGAAGCTCTCTTTATTCGATGAGTTGTGCAGCAGAAAAGAAAGCCGGGATGGGGCATGGATGAGTCAGCAGGGCCCTAGCTGGATGCGGTGACGACCCTCAATGAAGCTCGCCCGACCGCCGGCAGTAACTGTTGGTTATCTACCCCAGCTCTGTCTAGCTGTGCTTCTGCTCGGCCGATGGGTGCCATGAAGCTGCCCATTGTCTGCACCAATATTCCTCACCTTTGATACTAGCTTCCTGCTCTCGCCATGGATGCACCTGGCGCGACGCAGGCAAACGAGAGTGTCCCTCAGGACCGCCGGGACTCCGATCCCAATAACGTGGGCGACAATACATACCCGGACAGCGGGCGGTCCGACCGGGTCAATGACGAGGAAGACAGCCACAATGGGACCCAGAGTGAAGGCGATGATATCGACAAAGAACACGGCGAGGACGGAACAGAGGAGGAGACTGATGAGGAAGAGGACGAGGAGCCCCGGCTCAAGTATGCATACTTGACCAAACACCTGGGGGCGGTGTATCGCAATGGAGATGCAACAAGCTCCTTTCTCGCGGCTGGGGACAAGATGGTATGGTATCCAGGCATTTCCTAGAAGGCGCATGATGCTGAGATAGTGTCTAGGTAATTGGAACGCATAATGGAAACATTGTAGGTAGCACTGTTACCGCTTCGAATGATTGGAGAACTGACGCCGACCAGCATGTACTATCCGTTCCTCAAATGCGCTCTCTTCGCGTCTACCATGCGCACTCCGCCAGTATTACCTCGATCTCAATATCTCCGTTCCCTCCTCCGTTGCCCAGTCTCAGGCAAGAGTACTTCAGCAGAGTCCCCGAAGATCAGGAATATTCGGCGCGGCCGTCGTCCGGCACAGCTAGCCTCCGCGGCCGGCATCGACCAGCTCACCAGCAAAGCCTACCTGCCACGCCATCCAATTCGATATACATTTCCACATCTTCTATGGACGGAAATGTCTGTGTCGCATCATTAGTTGACTCCAAAGACGTTCTCTTGCGGAATTTTGGCCGGCCCGTGCAGGCTGTCGCGCTCTCACCAGAGTACAAAAGTGACAGGGCGTTTCTGTCCGGAGGACGTGCAGGTGACCTGATACTTACAGTGGGCGGAAGAGTTGGTGCTAGCACGAATTCCACAACAATGGGAGGTGCTGCGGCTACGGCTTCGAGTTGGCTCGGATCTTTGGGGCTGGGAGCCAACACCGGTAAGGACACTATCCTTCACAGTGGGGAGGGCGCCATCAGTACGATCAAGTGGTCTTTGTCGGGGAAGTACGTCGTCTGGGTCAACGAAGAGGGCATCAAAATTATGCGATCGAACTTGTACCTCGATTCTTCCGATTCTGAGCTTGCCTGGAAGCGAATCAGCCACATTGACCGGCCCAACCTTCCAGGCTGGGAGGAAATGGCGGGAGTCTGGAAGGCTCGTGCTGAGTGGGTGGACGAAAAATCATTGAACATCGACACCGGTTCAAACAGTCAAGGAGGATCGTCTACAGCTCAGTCGACTGTTGTCAGAGAGAAGGTGGAGAAGTTGGTAGTTGGCTGGGGAGGCACGGTTTGGGTCATTGACGTATATCCGGATAGACCCAGCAAGAACAACAGGGACCTGAAGATCGGATCTGTTGAGGTTTCTACAATCTTGCGGACCGACTGCGTTATATCTGGCATCTCGCTATATACCCCTAGTCTACTGGCCGTCCTTGCGTACATTGAGGCGGAAGAAGACGTCTCGGAAGAGCGGACCAAGCTAGGAGGTCGCCGTCCGGGAACGCGCCGCCGGCCAACGGGCTTGGAGCCTGAACTGCGGATCATCGACATCGAAACAAAGGAGGAGCTTAGTGCTGATACCCTTTCAACCAGTCGCTACGAGACCCTCACTTCCTCAGACTATCATATGTGCGTCCTGCCTCCTTGGAAATCCAGCGCTCCTGTTTCGCAACGTGGCGCCTTAGAAGCTCTAGGAAACGGTCTCTGGGATGCAACGCTCTACCCGGCACGTCTATTCAACTCTGCCGTTAGCATTCGCAGTACAACGAGCAGTGACAAGGGATCCAGCCGGGCGCCGAGCACTTTTGCCTCTCGAAGGTTTTCTTATGAGGAACCCCTTTCCAAAGAAATCCAGGACATTGCAGGGAGCGTGGGCCCCAAAATCTTCGTCCACAGTCCATATGACTGCGTTGCTGCCCTGAAGAGAGACCTGTCTGATCGCCTAGCCTGGCTAGACGCGCACGAGAGATATGAAGAAGCATGGATGCTTCTCCAGGAGCATCCTGAGGCGGCGGGGTCGGCGACTGACGTGAACGAGCAAATTCCGGAGACGCCGTCAAGATCGCAGAGCAGTAGCGTTGGTGAATCCTTCATTGACGATAGGTCTTCCATCACAACCACTGGCCGGAACATTGCTTCTACTCCTGCGGTCGAGCAGGAAAGGCGCCGCATTGGCGAGTTGTGGATCGAGCAACTTGTTGATGAGAACAAATGGGCGGAGGCTGCCGAAGTTTGCGTGAAAGCAATTGATACCGCGAGCAGGTGGGAGCATTGGGCTTGGACCTTCATTAAGCATGATAAGCTGGACGAGATCTCGTCCGTCATACCTGTCAACTTGCGCCCCAGTCTCCCCGCAAACATCTACGAGACCATCTTGGGGCACTATGTCGAGCACAACAGGTCAAGGTTCAGCGATCTTCTGGACTCCTGGCCTTTCGACCTCTTTGACGCCAATAATGTGGCAACGGGAATTGAGGAGCAACTGAGATATGACTCGGTAATCCCGGACACAGAGGACTGGCGAGTCCTGACAAGGTGTCTTGCCAAATTGTACCTCGCAGGAGGCCACTACGGCAAAGCACTGCACTGCTATATTCGCCTCCAAGACGCCGACACAGCGATGGCCCTGATCAAGGACCACCGACTGCTAGACACCCTCACCGACGATATCCCCGCATTCATTCTCATACGCGTGTCCAAGGAACAGCTGAAATCAGCACCCGTCGAGGAACTCGAAGAGCTCACCGCAGAGCCCATCCGGCTTCTAGTCAGCGAAGCATACACAGGCATAGTCCGGCCCGAGATCGTGGTTGATCAACTCCAAGCCGCAAACAAACTCCTATACCTTTACTTCTACATGCGGGCTCTCTGGCGTGGCGAATCACTGCCTCACGGCGCCGCAAAACCTCGCCGCGGCCACTTCGCCCACATCCGAGACGCGGCCAGCAAGCTTGCCGCCGACGAAGGCAAAGCATTAGTCGACAACTTCGCCGACCTAGCCGTAGAACTCTTCGCAGACTACAATCGGCCCCTGCTGATGGAATTCCTCCAAACCAGCACCTCCTACTCCTTCGACATGGCCGTCAGCATCTGCGAAGGCCGCCACTTCACCCCGGAGCTAATCTACCTGCTCTCGAAAACGGGACAAACCAAACGCGCCCTCAACCTGATCCTCTCCGACCTCAAGGATGTCTCGCAAGCCATCCAATTCGCCAAGTCCCAAAACGAGCCCGACCTCTGGGAAGACCTCCTCGACTACTCCATGGACAAGCCGCGTTTCATCCACGGTCTCCTCGTCGAAGCCGGAACCTCCATCGACCCGATCAAACTCGTACGCAGGATCCCAAGCGGCCTAGAAATCGAAGGCCTCCGAGAAGGTCTCACACGGATGATCCGTGAACACGACCTCCAAGCCAGCATCAGCCAAGGAGCCGCCAAAGTGCTCCAAAGTGAAGTAGCAGTAGGCATGGACACGCTCCGACGCGGCCAACGCCGCGGCATCAAATTCAACATCGTCGAAGAGGAAAGATCCATCCCTGGCACTCCCACCACCACTGCCACTGCCACTGCCGCCGAAGCACCCGAAAAGGACACCACCACCGCCACCAACAAAGCACTCAAAAGCGACGCCGACACAGAAAAGACCTCTTTCACCGCAACATCCTCAACCACCGCGTCCCAAGCAGGTAGATGCGCAGGCTGTCTTCGCCCGTTTCGCGCCAACGGTAAGAACCCCCCTCACCTCTTTAGTACTTCTAGAAAACTCGACTCATTTATGATCCACAGAAAAAGAAATCCTCGTCGGCTTCGCCTGCGGGCACATCTTCCACCTCTCGCACATCCACGCAACATCGGAGAATCCCTCATCCACAAGCACGCCATATACTCGCTCTGCGGTGCAAACTCCTCGACCGTTCTCGCCTGCGCCCGGACAGACGCTGGATGAAGTGTCGATGAGTGCATCGCGCACGGTCGGACCGAAGGTGACGACTGCGCGGTTGTTGAGGGATAGGATTGGGGATGGCTGTAGGATTTGTGCGTTGGCGAAGGAGTTGGAGGCGATTGGAGATTCCGAGTCGTAGGTTTATTCTGCTGTCTGTGAGTGTGAGAGGGTGGCTTTTGGATGGGTGCTCTGAGGAGGGGGGTACTGTAGCTTTACTTGGGGTGGGAATGTAGATTTGTCGGCTGCTTTGTGTGGCGACTTGAAGAAGAGGGGATCGGCTTTAGTATTTTATTTTGATGGTGAGGATGCTTTGCATTACTGGAAGGTATGGGTGCTGATGGGATTGCAGGTATTCATATGAAGGGAGCAGTTGAATGATGGCCTTGTCATTCTACCAGTGTGGGGCTGTAACCACGGACAGTTTCACTACATGTTCCATAGTTCGCCTGGATGGGTGTATGTTTAGTCTTTAGGAGATACCCATGGTAGCAATAATCTACTGCGCAATTGAGACAAGTATTAAGGCCCGTAAGGCTTTGAATTAGATCAAGCGGTATCTTGCCGCGATATTAGTTACAACACTCCGTTGAGAAATTCAAATGGCAACCTCTTGTGAGGCGCATCTCGACACAACGTTAGAGCAAATAAGATGAAAGAAAAACAGAGAATGAAAGAAGCACGCTCCATCAGAAGATTGAGTTCAACACCACCAGATCTCCGTTCACAGCTCAGCTGGGAACGAATTTCAAAGAACTGCTGGTAAGCGAAAGAAACATCTTCAGATACGCACGAGACTAAAAGCCAAGGCGACTGCCAACGCAAAGGCGGACGACGCCATGCCCTCATAGTCATCGGCCTCGTTGGTGGTGGGGAACGAGGGGTGCGCATGAGTGCGGGTGCCAGTCAATGCAGTGGTATCAGTGCTGACTGTGTGATTTCCATGCTGCTCTCCCGAACTGACTGAAGAAATGATAGATTCATTCTCATCACTGGGAGCACTATGAGTTCCGGATGAGGTCGGATGGGGCACAGTGGTTTCAGGCACAGTCTGAATTCCAGTCATGACGGATGAATGTCCAGTGGCCAGAGACTTGGTAACTGACACAAAAGTGGTATCAGACTTGACGTGAGATTGGCCGGTAGAGACCTCGATTGGGTTTCCAGCAGACACTTCGGCAGTAAGTCCCGAAGAAACCTCAGTGACAACACTAGTCATGGTTGGAACAACACCAGACACGACAACCGTCGGAATCAGGGTAGGCGCGGTGACGACTGTAGGGAGGGATAGGGTTCCGATGGTTGGAGCCACTGGAGTCTCCGTCTCGCAGATAGTCACGGTCAAGATGTCTAGAGTTAATCAGTACTCAAGTTTCTTATCAGGAGGTCTTCCAGGCTTACCATCGTTACGGGTTTTGCCAACTCCCTCGGCCTTGTTGGGCTTGGGCCTACGATTGTTGGACTTAGGGACGATGACCGCGTGGTGAGCTATATTATTGTCCAAGTCTGGTCAGTATTTTGGACTCTCAGCTACCATCTGAGTAGTACTTACGAGCGAAGGCAGCCTCAGTCATCTCGTAGTAGACACGCACAAGATCGTCAACGATATCTAGGAGCGTTAGCAGAACGAAGAAGACAGTTGGAGTGTAGTACCTACTAGCACTGCAGCCAATACTGGCGAGAAGCCAGATGGCGATAATGACTAAGTAGTTCACGTTCATTTTGAACAAAACGCTTTGAAGCAAGGATCTTCAAGTTGTAAGGAACAGGAAGTAAACGAAGAGTTGATGATGGTCAGGATTCTTGATGATGGAACCTTGACAGAAAGACTGGGGAAGGACGGAAGGGGGACGGGTGGAAGTCTGGGGAGAAGGTTGGGAGAAAGGAAAGGAGGAGAAGAGGGAGAAGAAGAAGAAAAGGATTTGAGGAGAAAGATAAAAAGAATTCGAACGTGTTGTGTGTGTTGACAGGGTTGTGTCGCCGGGGCGAATGGTGTCGTTTTGGAAAGTGCGACGACGACATTACCAATACGGCAAGAGCAGTGTAGGCACCGACGACCAGCAGTTGAATATGGGAAACGGTGCTATACGGGAGGAATAGAGGTGCGTATGGTGGTAGTTTCTGCACAGCAATTCACATAGGGCTCGATCACGCTGATAAGATGGTGGCGTTTATCGGGTCTGATATCCACGTGTTTTCACTGTTATACACTACGCTAAGGGCTCGGAGTTGAACTTCCGAGTCTTTGTTCAGTTATAATAATAGAAGCTAATCCTTCTAGAATAACTTTATGGAAGTTTAGGTGTCAAAAGAAGATCCATGCAAAACAGGCACTCTATGGATGCATACGGGGTAAGCCATCGGCAGCCGGAGACGAACTACGCCAGGTTCCACCCTCAAATTCCTCCATCCACACGAGAAGCAATGAGCCCACCATTACTGACCCCTATTAAGCTGTCTCCCGATACACAGGAGCCAATGATTGTCGTCCTAAACCCTCTTGACCACAAGCTAGTTCAGCCAAGCTTGATCCCGATGAGCTCTAACATGAAGTTATCCCCGAATAAGCCACACCGCAAGCCATCAGACACCGATGTCTCAGATCGACCAATCAGTATCTGCCATAGAGAAACAGAAAACTGGAGCATGGGGGATCTCAGTGGCAAAATTTGCTCTTGATCTCGAGCCGTTCCCCCCTCCGAGCTTCCTTTAGGCATGTTTAAAGGCAACCTTAAAGCAAATCGATCCTGCAGTGACCCTCATACTAACGGGTACTAGATGGCAATCCCTGCACCGTGCAGAGATGTGTTCGTATTAAGATCTGGAAACTTTTATACCAGTGGAGGATCTTGTACTACTCCGGCAAGGAATCCGACATGGATGATACCCGATCTCAACGGTCAGTTGACCATGCAATCTTAGTACCAGATATTATTCTGACATACACGTGCCAACCATACCCGCTATATATAATTGACAGTCCACACTGCAGCCTTCAGAATCATCAAAGTTCGTGTTCGCGCACCATGTGATGTTGAATTTAGGGGCCCCTATCCGCAGCATCGCCGGAAATTTACCTCTGCGGGTGTTGTTTCCCGTATGGAATACTGCGGTATGGTTGGTATGGAATGGACAAGCGTAATTCAGTAACGGTTTTTGGTGTCAAAACTAGCGAAAAATACAGCAACAGACAGAGACCCCACATCGGCACGACCCGGGTGGAGGCGCCAACCAGCAAAAAGCGGCTGATGGCCAGCCGCTCCTTTCCAAGGAACTCTTTTGAGCTATGACGACATTGCAAGATACCAGTCCGATCCCCGATCTGATGCGTTGAGAGCCATGATGTCATCTGCGTTGTTCCCTTCCCCGATTGCCATTGTGACTCGCCCTGGGCTGGGCTCGGCTGCGTGAGTCGGCCCGAGTCTGGACCTGTCATCCGCATTCATTCACGAACTACTGCGTGAGGATGCATCTTCTTTTGGCCTTGACTTACAATCACTACAAAGGAAGGGAGATGCTAACAACCGTGCCATGTAGGGAGGGAGCACTACACTTTTCCACCTCTTTCGATTTAATTCCAACAAATCAGTATGGCGCCATCTGTGTTCACATCCCGTTGCAGAACACATATTCCGAACCTACCCCATAAACACAACCAAATTAGAAACTGCGGAGGCAAATAATAAAAAAGGTCAGAATATTAAGGAAAAGCTCACACACCGACTCGGCCAAACGGAGAGCCTCTCTTACTTTTTCCCTTCCCTTTTTTCCCCACTTCCCACGAGATCGGCAGGCCCCCAAATGCAACTGAAACGATTGGTCGATGATCTCAGGACAAGGTTTCTGCAAAGGGAGAAATGGATCAGCCAGAACCACCAATTTATCTCCCACAGACTCATTACCCAAGGGCGGCTAGATAAGCCTAAAACCATATCACAGTTACTTCTGTACAAAGTTGATGAGTTGTTACCGAACCCCCCCGATAGCGCTTGCAACAAACAGAAACTAAAAAGTTAATTTTTTTATTATCATTGAGACATACCGCGAGTCTAGAACCATGGCTACAAACCCCCTGACTTAGACCACGTTGTACAATCCGCTCGGTGATCACTTACTACTTACTGTCTTATCTACTCGATACCCGTTTCACTTTTGCGCTCTGTTTTCATTGGTGGCTTCCGTTCAGGTACCCTTGCAGAATAGTATCACCAATATGAAAGAAAGCATAATACCATCACCACTATACATCTAACTACTTCTTCATCTATGTCAAAACACCATTCTAAGTAGTAGTAAAGCCGCCCCTAAACCCATCCAACAATCCATCAAAACCCTTCCAAGAGATTAGTATTCAAATAATATAATAATACCTCCAACTATACATCCCATAAACTAACTAGTATGTATGCACCTCGACGGGGCCAGCCATCCAAACCACCACCCGCAGCGCCATGGCGCCAGCCCAGTCTTATACTACATATACACGACAGCCACAAGCCAGCTAGTCAAGTAGTTAGTTAGATAGTTAGTTATCTATCTACGCAGCAAACAAATCCATGTACTCCGATCAATACATACATACATACATACAATACCAACACATCCAGCCAAACCATCTACTATTACTTCACCTCGAACTCGATCGTCGTAAGCCTACTACTACCTACTCCAAATCTACACCCAAACAATGGCATAGATGGATCTATGGATACATAAAGAAAACTGGAGTATGTACGGAGTAGATGAAATGAACGGAGTCAAACCAACCATATACCCGATCGGGAACTCATCTCCGCATAAGGCAATGGCCTACGTAGCAAGGTGGGGGTGGGAGTGGAGGAGGGCCGCGAAAGGTAAGCATGTGCGACAGATGACTGACTGACCCCTCTCAACGAAACAAAGAACTGACCCCCCGTTACCCTGCCCAAAAAGGGTAAAAGGCACGCTTCGGAAGGAAAAAGAAAACAAAGCAGAAGAAGAAAGGGACGGGTACATGCTCGGCAGATACACACGCACACACATAACCCCAATGAACATACCATGGGATGATGGGAATGAGGAGGAGATTTTAGTGGAACATAGAGAAGATAATGACGATGTTAGCTACTAGTAGTAGCAGGGACCATAGTTACCATCCAATTTACTGAGAAAAAAAGAAGAAGAAGAAAAAAAAAGCCATTCCCCACTTTCAAAAGAAAAAGAAAAAAAAAATCAAATCAAATCAAAACGAACGGTAAAGATGATTCGAGAGTCAGTGGGGGGCGGATCTGACATCCGCCAGTAATATAACGTGCTGTGTTTTTCCGCGGGTGTGCGCCGAGCGTTGCCGGAGGAGGAAAAGGGCCCTAAGTACTCCGTACCTTACCAGTGACCTTTTAGCGCGGCCGGTCGGCTACCTTACTACTTTGTAGACTGGTGGTCCACAGTAGGTCCGTTCCATGGGTCACCTTCCTTATTGTTCATTTTTATTCTTGTATTCCATATCCACAGTAGTCTATCTACGTAACTGTCTAACTCAGCGTCGGTTATGATGTAATTGCTGGGTGGGATCCAATTTCCTCGCCAATGGAACAACGTTCGGGGGTCTGTGCTTTGCTCTCTCTCGTCCTCGGAGATTCAGTCCTGGTGACATGGTTCCATGTGGTGATCTTCAGTTCCTGTGTACTATACTATTCCAGGAGGTGGGTGGCGAGTCTCGGACTATATTCGAATATCTTACGGAACTACGATGGAAATCTGTTCCAGATATTATAACCTCTCTATTGCACGGGTCTGTCGTATATCCAACCTAGTGCTTTTGATGTAACATGAATAGCAGCTTCAAACCCGTTCATCTTCATGGGTCCGAAGTATAGGCAGGTCTGCACGCGAAACCCATCACAGCGCACACGAAACAAGTCAAGACATCATTCTGTGCTGCGTAGACGCTGAAGCTTGGATCATAACAGGAAGAGCCAGTCATAGCCCATCCGATAACGGAAACACCCAGGCCATCCAAGAGGGGAGAAATAGTGAAACCATCTCGGTATGCCGGTCTGAAAAGAAAATAAAGAAACGCAACAGCAGCAGTGAAGTAATTCCGACAAGAATGGACAGGGTATCTATCGTATTCCTCGTACCTCAACCAGATCCTCGAAATTACAAACCAGATAATATCATCAAGAAAAATCGAACCATTGCCGGGGCCGTGTACCCCCAAACCCAGACGACATTGCCGACAAGGAAAAGTTTAGGATATCGTCAATGATACAACACACAAAGATAAAGACAACAAACAAAGCACGTATATGGCGACAGGGTATCATTGCTCGGGAACTCGTGTATTATTCCCTATCCAACGAACGCCCCGTAGATTGATGCAAGCAATCCCAAACTCCGAATATGAGGCATGCGCTTGAGTAATGTATGCGAACAAGCGTACCTCATGCCACGCACCAGGCGCCGAAAATACTGAAAAGACTGAAATCCGTACCGAAAGAAAGAAGCCCCTTGTTGAGGGGTGAGACAACAAAAATGTTAGACGAAAGTGAAGTTTGCGAGTGACGAAGGACGAAAAGAGCGTCGTGATTTGCCGAGCGGCAGGATTAGTAGCTCAATTTGACCTCAACGGCTGGACTTATGTTTCCCGATCCCGTAGCTGCTGCGGTCTCGAATGATGACGCCTCGGAAATCTCGACAACCATGTCTTGGCCGTCTGGGAGCTCGCGAACGACATCATCATCTACCATTATTTTTAGGCCGTTTTGCTTGACGTGGAGAACTCGTACAATGCGCTGAGGGTCGATGCGCTGCTTCATGGAGATCTTCTCCATTAGATCGCGAACCGTCCGTTCAGTCAAATAGACGGCCCGGTAATAGTCATCCGAACGCTGATCGTTGCGTGGGAATCGTACGTAGAAGCACGCGACTAGGAATGGGTCAGTTCGCGTATCTTTTAAAGGTTATAAGCTTAACTTACTTGGCTTTACTGGACGCTCCGCGGGGGGTCGGTAAGTTGGGTCAATGTCTACCGCCTCTATGAATCCCATGGGCGCGCTACCGTCAGTCGAAGCCACTTTCGGTACCTTGACGGGATGCTTTAGTGTGGCCTTGTCGCCCAGGACTTCAGAGCACGGGCGCGAGTTCTCTCGAGATGTGCTCAGGGATCCATGGTACGCCGAGTCATAGAACATGTTCGGCTGGAGGTTGGTCGGGTGGCATGGCGAGTTTATTGAGATGCTACTGCTGGTGGGCGAAACGGCATGCAGGGATGCGCCATCAATACTGAAGCGGGATCCACGGCTGTTCTCCCGTTTGAGGAATTCCCGCGACTCGGGGAGCATGACAGGGAACAAGTCCGGGTCGTCTTGCTCCTCGCCCCGCAATCCCAGAATGCTTACCGGTCGCGTTGACGTGAACATGTCTTGCATCAACGCGAGCTTTGCATGGAGATCGTCCTCCAAAGACATCTTGCCAGGGCCGTCCTGCGAGCCCATAGACCATGTCCGTTTGTGCTTGGTAATCTTGGCCGGGCGCGGATCGGCACCCTTAAGTGCAATGGAGCCATTGCTACGCTTGCGCTTCCCGTAGTTACCGGCGCCCATCTCGGCTTGAGCAATCTGTTGTCGAAGTTTCTCGATGGTCTTCTTGACATGAGCGACGTCGTTGGACAGCTTCCGCTCAGCACCATGGTCGCGGAAAAGCTTGACCTTGCAGTAGCACACCTCCGATTCTTTGCCCGAAGTTGAGCTCGAATCGTCAGGAGAGACCATCTCTGTCTTTGCGCACAATCTGACCGGAATACCCTTCACACCCTTGGAATGGCTAAAGTCCGTCGACAAAAAGTTGAATCGAACCGGAATTGAGCACTCCGAAACTCCAGTTGACGGGTTGAGTGTCCAGGTGACGCAGAAACCATCGAATGATGAGCTCTCGAGCTGGATTTGCCGGTTCTTCGTGTCTTCAATGCCGCCTTGTATGGGATCGACATATTCCACTGCTTGGAGCTTTCCGCCTCGTTGATGCGCTTCATTGGAACCCCGACCTTCCTTCCATAACTGCCAACAAGCAGCCGGCTTTGCCCTCTGCTCATCTTCTTGAAAAGACACACGGACGAAGGTACGGTATTTGATCGGTTGCGTGGTCATGGGCGGCGGAGTAGAATCAATCACGGAAACTGAGTATGCCTGGCCTTTATTGAGATATGTGACTGGGATCTCGGCTTGATGGTTGATCATGGCTGTGGGAGCGCGCAAAGTGACATGATAGCGAAACCTGTAGCGTCCAGCACGGTTAGCGATCGAACAAACATGATGAAAAGGGTGGAGCGCTCACGTTTCACCTGGGTTGTGCATACTCGCTTGATCGTCCTGAATTGTTGACGTAACGTAGTGAGAAGACGCATTACCCTGCATATCCACATCATTTAGAGACAGTTCTTCGACAGATTCGTCCATGGCATCGTAACCTGCATCACTCTGAACGAAAGCACCGGGCGCAAATGCTGGCTGCTGAGCAAACGGTTGGGGGTTGTGGAAGTGTGGCGGGATGTACTGCTGGTCAAAGTGATCGAGGCCCAAAGCTGCAGTACCGGGGTTGATGGTCGCCGCGGAGATCTGCTGCGGAAGAGAGAGCGGAGTAATCATGCTCAAACCCATGCCAGGGGTATGCAAATCTCCTGCTTGGCTGTGGTATACTGCACCCAGACCACCTGAGTTGGGAGTATAGTAGCCATGTGGCTGTAGTGGGTTTACATAAGAGACAGCATTCGGATCGACAAAAGGCGCTGCAAAACGCATATCTTCCGTGGCGCGGGGTGTAGGATCATTGAGCTTCATATCGTTGTTCATACTCAATCTGGGGCAGAAATATCATGTTAGCTTTCGCCCAAAGATTTCTTCGAGCTCCAAAATAACCAACACAAGGATGAGAGAGAAAGAAATAAATTAAGGCAGATACTGAAAAATGAAAAAGGTCGTATTTACCTAGCTGGAGTGATAGGTCCAATGGGCATCTGACCGAAGCGCGTGGCATTGCGGTGAGTGACTGGGGGAACAACGTCTGAGAAGGTTTTTTGGAATCTCTGGATGAGCTCGTCGTCTGGCTTTTGAGAATTTTTTCTGCAAGGGTGGTAGTCCGGTTAGCATGAGAATGGCGGGCGACTCGTCGGCAAAACGCAGCATCGGTATTCAATATAGCGACGTACCTGTTGCGGAACATCATCGACACGGTCGGAGGTAGTAAATTGCTTATTCCGTTGTGGTATTCGACGGCGCTTGATGATTTATGGAGAGACGTGGAATCCAGGAGAAAACAAGAAGGCGTTCGAGGGTGAAGGTGGCATTCGGATCGCCAAGCGCTATTCGATCCGGGCCTCGAAGTTATTCGGAGAGGGGAGGGAAGGGCGGTGGTTGTATGTATGTATACGTTTCCCGATCCGTTATTTTAGGAGTGTGGAAAAAAAGCATGTAATTCTGAAATGCGGAAGTGTCACATCCCAATCACGGTCTATCGGGGGGGATGGTAGCGATCGCAGGGATTGCGACCACAAAGTGGGCGGCTTCAAGATGATATCGAGGATCGCGAGGAGCGGAGACAAAGAGAGGAGGGGGTGGGAATAATTTGGGGAAGAGGTCCGAGTGGTATTCGAAGACGAGAACGGATTTTGGCAGGTATTGGGTTTATAGCGGATGCGCCCCTTACTCAGAGATCATATGAGAGGCGGCGGTGGGAGAATGAGGACGACTGCAAAGGGAGAGAGGAAGAGAGAAGGAGAAAGAGGAGAGAGAAGAAGAAGAGGAGAGGAGAGGAAGCGACAGGCGAGAAAGAAGATACGTATGCCGTATAAAAATGTACAGAAATAGCGGGGAGGCGATAAAAGGGTAAAAAAAGAAAAAGAAAGAGGAAGAGGAAGGGGAAGTAGTACTTGAGGGCCCAAAGGAGGGGAGGAGAGAGTGTGGAAAAGAGGAAGGTGATGATGAATGTTGGGGGAGTCTGCTGGAACTAGACGGTAAGACAAGCCCCCAATAATAGTTCGGATGTAGGGTGGATATGGACGCTGAGAGGATGAAGCCGAGTACCTCTCAACTAAGAGGGAGCAAAGCAAGCCGAAAAGATTTAGCAAGAGATTTCTTTTTTCTTTTCTTTTCTGGGATCGGAGGATTTGTGGAAAGAATGTGATAGTTATTAATAAAAGAAGAGAAAAAGGGACCACATGGGAGGCGTGGTGACGTGCAATAATAACGGTTGGTTGAGTGATAAAAAAGCGCAAATGAGGTAGGTATGAAGGAAACCTTCCAGAAACTCTTCTGTCCCTTTCGGTGCTTTCTCTTTCTTTCTCTGTCGGTTCCTGCTATTCTTTTCCTCTATTTAATCCACTTTTCTTTTCTTTTTTCCTTTTTTTTTTCTATTTTCTATTTTTTTTCATAAATATACTTTTTGGAAAAGTAGATTAATCTCTGGGTCAGTCTCCGAGATGATTTTCTGGGTCGGACTCAACCAGAAGAGACCCAGGATCAGTGGGGAGGGTGTGAGGGGTGGTGTGGATCCGGTAAATAGTAATATCCCGTCGTATTACATCTGTATATTACCACTCGCATATACAGCTGTACTTTACGGTTTCTGTATTATACCACAACAATAACTACACCAGGACTACTTACTAGTCGTTATAAGCACTACTGGATAGCCAGCAAAGGTAGTATAGGGCTCCCAACCATTTCTGCCACATTTCAATAAATCCCCGGCAGTCATAATAACCTGTTCCTCAACATTCCAAACGTTCGGATCATCATATTTCCTCTGCTCGGTTATCCTGCCTTGTGAAACCAGTGCGGTCTGGACTCTAGCGGGTATAGTAGTCCCCAAGACCAATAATACACAAATAGGTATAGAAGCCACCACCTGCACCGATCATTAACACCGAAGCGACCACGATACGGTGTCAGTCCATACAATGGAACCGGGGCCAAGACGCCAATGAAGTGGGTTCGAGCCGATTTCCGATTTCCCAATGAACAGGCACATTTACTAAACTCGGGTCCTACGTCATCCTCCCAAGAAACAGAACACAGTAAGAGCAGTGCACTGACAGCCCCATGAGAATGCAGAAAAAAGTCACTGACTTGCCATGCGCCGTGGGCTATGCCCAGCCCTACACAGTACCTGGGACACTTCATGGGCGGTACCTTAGCAGTCAACGATCAGCCACAAGACTGTAAGCCCATCCCAAGCCAATGGTAACTCAGGCATCCATGCAGATGTGGCAGTAGTGGTTCTTTTGAGTTGGACGTGCGTGTAAAAGTACATACCTTCTCTCCCTACTCAGTTAGGTTACTTAGTTACCTATATCCTCTTTCAGTATCTATGGCGCGGCTGTGAACCGCGGTTATTATGCGCAGCGTACCAAATACTCACCTCAACAACTACGACACTTCCTAATACACTCTGCCGACAACATACACCTTTTATCTTCATGGAAAGAAAAGGAAAAGGGAAAGAAATGGAACATTCCCGAGGCCGGTAGCGGAGGACAACAACAACAACAGCAACAGCTCACAACAACACTAATCCCGGTTTTGGAGGAAGGGTTATCTCCTTCCCCTCTTTCCTGTACATACGCGAGGGAGCTGCTGCTGCTACTGCTTCTGCTACTATGCCCGCTCACTCCCAGCCTCGCGAGTACCCGGTCGCGGGTCTAAAAGAAAAGAGGTATCTAGAAGCATCCTTTGGTTTTTCCACCTTCCTACCCCAATTCGTCCACATTGAGTGGAGCCACCAAATTGACATTTAATTCAAGAGAAAAGAAAAAAAGCGGACTATTGCCGAAGTAGGCATTCGGCCAGACCAATTCAGCCTATTGATCTGCAAGCGTTATCACATGGCACCAGTGTCATTATATGATTGACGGTGTCCGCGTCCTGGGTATGGTAGTAGCGCTCCTCCCACGGCCTATCTATCTATTCTGACAACGCATCTTTACTGAAATCAGTATATACGGTCTGCGATTGGTCTCACATTATCCCATACCGACATGGGACATGGAAGTCAAAAAAGGAAAGGGATGAGGGAGCGGATGAGATGGATCACACACATAACTGCGGGCAGCTGGGTTCCAGGCTGACTGACTGACTGACTAACAGGCCTTGGACAGTGGAGGACGCATGTATATGGAGAAAAAGGAGCGCGGTGGGTAAACCCTATCAATGCGTGCTTGGAAGTGAAACATCCCGACTTCCTTAGCGACAGTTATGGAGTCGAACTGGAGTCGAAAGCTGGGCCGGGAGCTTACTCTGTCGTGCACGGGTCTTTCTGGGGAGTATCGAACCATGAAGCACCCGCCAACCATGGATATGGACACTTATGACACAAACCTGCGCCAAGCACAGACGCACAAGGTTTGGTTTCACACTGCTTGATGCTGCAGGTCAACAGAAGCAAATAAAACTAATACTTGGGTAGGTTTACGTCTCAGAGAATATCATTCTTCTCACCGACCAGAGCTATGGGATTCTACACTTTGATCGAGCATCGACGGCTGATACTGTATCATACTGTGTACAGGGATTGTATGAGAAATGTAAAGGGATGTAGGGCTAGACCGGCGCCGATTGCTTGGGATGATGTCCCGCCAATCAGAAACATGGGATGTCGGTCCCCGGGTCACATCGGACGGAGTTCCTTAGAACCTTATTACCTAAACAGCCGTGTCGTTGGCCTGGGGAATGCGAAAGGGACACTCCCGTAATTAACCTTAGTCAGCTGGGCTAGCACCCTCCTTACACACAATACTCAGCCAATACTAATTGGGGAGACACCTGAAGAGAAAAAGAAGGCAGAAGAGTTACTAAGGCACCGACCATACGGAGCTCGTCCATGAACGCATTGGACTCCTAATCTACATGCCGACCATGGTCAGACGAAACCTCCAAAACATAGAAATCTGTTTCCTCTTTCGAAGACAAGAAGCACAAGCTACGTCATGCGTCTCAGGGGTACCGGGGTGAGAGAGGGGAGGGGGGGCTGACAGTTCATGCCTGCCATCTGGAGGAATTTCAGAACTGACGATTGCTACGGGTATAGTACCCTGGTTACCTGGAGTGGAAATGATAGGTTCGATTTGAGCAGAGCGTCGTGCGATAGAATTCATGACAACGCTCGCTCTGATTCGTTGGACGACTGCTCCGAGTCAAGGGGAAGGAAGACAGACCCGCCACATATGCACCAATCGCTGGTGGTTTCACAAAGACGGCCAGTCCCCAGATTACATCATAACATTCAGGAGTTCCTTTTTTCTTTTTTTTTATTGCTGCGCTGCTTACACAGTCACTAGCCAAATCCCTTTTTAGCTCACTACTTTTTTCGGCTTTCCCCACCAGCATGCGCAGGTGCATTGCGCATTGCGCATTGCCGCATTTCTGCTTTGAGATTTGGGGTAACTACTAAGTAGTAGTACTACTTTTGACTAACGTCATGGACGGGATCGGTCTAGACGCGAGCAGCATAGCACAGCACAGCACAACACACAACACAGTAGATGAGATGATGTTATGCTACTATGTATCAACAATTACTCAAGATTTAATTCCGCAGATGCACTGCGACGCGATGCGATGCAGTCTCTGTCCGATGATAAACTAAGTCAATAGTCCTGCCACTGACTCAGTCGGTGTAGACAGCATGCATGAGATGACAAGTAAGTAGTAAGTACTAATTAATCCCTTTACTTTTGACCAGTCGTGATCCAGAGATCTTCAATGAGGTGTATATTGTGGCTGCTTTAGTATGTTTTGGACTCCAGTCCTTCCCTTATCGCGGGGCCCCATTCTCCCCCTGTCATGCTGTCGCTTATCTGTCTGTCACTGCCATGATGCTAGACTGATTGGATAGTGATTGTCAGGAGACTTGAGACTTCTATCATGTCGTATTGAGAAACAGGTTTAGATTTGTGCTTGAGGTGATCTTCTGTTAGAGAAACCTACTAGTGATGCTAATCGCATTTGGATAGTAGAATATATATCTTCACCCAAAGTCACCATGAACTTGAATTACTGCCATAGTAATGGTATGATAAACACACGAACAACCAAATAGAAAAACACAACAACAGCAACCCCAAACCCAACACAATATCATGAAATCACACCACACAACAACTCAAGACAGAACATGAAGAACTGTAAGCAGCAAGGCACACACCCACACACACACCTACAACCCGTCTCTAAGCTCCTACCACACACTCCAACTATGTAGTACTACTCGACGAAGCAATCTTATTCGCGGAAGCTTCTTGCGCGGCTAACAATCCTTCAGTTAACTAAGTCATGTCGTGCTGCATGACAACATACATGCTTGCTTACATCAACTACTACTACTACTACACCCCATAGTACATAACAAAGGGAATCATGCCCGCATTCGGTATGTTCATTGCATATTAGTCCTGACGAAATGAAGAAGATAAAAAAGAAACTTTATACATACATGACAGATAACAAAGGGATAGACAGACAGACATGACTTACACATACCTTGCAGAAATGACTCAAGAACTGAAGAAGGTTCATAATTCGTGGGTGGTTATCCGAGAGAATTGAATACCAATTGATAATAATTGATAAAAGAGGAACAAAGAAAGGAAGAATAAATGGTTAGTAGTACAGTCCCTCAAACAACACAACCAACCCGAACATCCTCCCACAACTGCCGTAGAAAATATACCACGAACCAAGAAACCAACCACCAAACACCTCCAGTGGGTTCTAAATCCGGAATCTGGAACAACCCACCTACATAGTAGTAGTACCTACCCGCTCAGCCCAGCCCAATTAAGATTCAACAGGGGATTAAAGTGGAAAAAACAAACGGCACGGATGGACAATCCGACGGACACGGGCCATAAGGGAATTGTGGATGCGAATGTGTGGGTTGGGTGTTAAGTGGTTCGTTCGCAACCCGCCAAGTCAAGATTTCTTACTTAGTTTACTCAAGGGAATGAATAACCGTATATATTCTCCGGAGGGGAAAGGGGGGTTATTACTGGTTGATGGAGGAAATGATGGCTTACATCAATCAAGGATTAAGAGGGAATGGTCCAATGCTTGTGGATATGTTGGATTATCATGGAGTAAGTAGAACTTACTAAAGTATCCACTTTTTATCTACTAACTACTAATGTATAATGGATGTCTGGGATGATGGAGAGAAGAAAGAAAGAATTGGGTCGGTGGCGTTGAGGTAGGTGGATGTTCTCCTCTTTTGTCGGGTTCGGGTTTATCGGTGGTTAGTACTACTAGTATTGGGGTAGGTCGATGGTATAGTAGTTGTATGATTTTAATGTACTGACGATGTATAGAGGCTGGTAAGTGCTTTACGGGGTTTACAAATATGGTCTTGTTATTCATTTAGTGTTTGGTTTTAATTGTAGAGCGGGATTACGATGTCAGCTATGGCCGATTACTAACTAATCTGTATATTAACTAAAGCGGATGAAGAAATAAACTTCAGCAGTTGAATGTAACCACAATAAGTAGTAAATGAGATAACTCACAGACCACAGCCAAGTAGACTACTAGGTAGGTACTTTTGTTAAACTCAGAAAGAAAAGCACAGTAGGACGAAATACGTAAAAACTCAACCAACAACATCCAATACAATTCGCTAGCAACAATACATTCATTACTTTTATGAAACTCACCCGGCATTGCCATCTCCGGCAATTGAAGCCACAAAAGCGCAGATGAGGCGAACAAGCGATGGGAAGGAAACAAGCGCCATGCACGACATGGATTCCCCAGTCAAATGTCAGTCATCCAAATTAACTAACCACCATTACCATCCCCGCGGAGAGTAAAAAAGTCATCAGCCCACTAGATGAACAATGAAGTAAGCCACTAAGTTATACTACGACGATGCCACTTTTTTTGCTCTATTAATTAATATCCTATGAAGTTCATGATAAGGCGTGTGAGGCTGTGTGATCCATGGTTCCGATCGAATCAGAAGAGGTCACGCACTCCCGCTCTCTACCGTCCGACACGGCAGAGAAGGAAAATGATGGAGGGGGAGGAAGAGGAAAGGGAGGGAGGGGGTGAAGGTGCAGGGATGTTTTAGAGCGAGGGTGGCAAATATACTTAACTGAACTAGTAGTGGAACTTTACTTTCTTTCTTTTCTTTTCTTCCCGTCTGTCTGTCTGTCTGTCGGTTCGAACGGAAGCGGGATCGATCTACTACTGGTTGTCATTAAGAAATCAGATTGATTGAGTGATTGATTCGATCGATCGATGCGATGACTTTATCATTACGTGTTGAAGGATGGGATCAGAGATCATTCTTTTCTATTTTCTATCTAATTGATGACTTTTGTAACTAGCGTAGTGTTAAACCACTACTTGTGCCCGTGCTGAGATGGTCGAAGAGTAAGCAGGTGAGACATTTTACTGAATGCGGGTAAACTAAGTGGTACTTACTATTTATGTAGATTCTGGATTCGGGATATGCTTAAAAAGTACCGACTTATAGGTATTTTCTTTTTTGTTTTGCTTTATTTGCCTCCATGATGATTAAGTAAAGTATGGCGTGCGCTTGGCGACCGGTATGTGCGTGATCATCTCGATACTTCGTAGATCAGTGGGTGAGTGACAGGCAGACAGATACTTTATGTAAGTAGGTAGACGAGTTGGGGAGATCTAATGCTTACTGACTTGGTGACTTACATGATAGTTCCATAGCAGAGGACCCTATTGCTTACAGTAGCAAATCCATAATGATTTTATTATTATTCTCGCTATACAATACCTACTTACTCTCCGTAAGTAAGCGAGCAGTATTCCATAACCTAGTGGCTACATACTCTGCTATACATAAAACGGAGGAAGAAAAAGAAGAAGAACCAGAAGATCAACCCCCCAACCAAAAAAGGAAATACACACCATACCATCATAGGCATGAATTCAATTGAATTTCATCTCCATCCCCCAAGGGAGACTATTGTTCCATGGTTCATTGATAACTTGGATGGTTCCATGAAACAAAATCTCCGGTCAGGTAGCAATACATACATTACATGTGACTCTAGATGATATTGATTCCGTTTCGGGTAATAGCCTTTTTCAACCATGTAATAACAACTACTGCTTCAGAATATAGATAGAGATTCGCAGATAGACAGAAAGGAACGACCAGCAACTGGTAAGTAACTCTATTAATGTATCACCACGCGCCGTTCTAAATCGATTTGCTGATAAATAATCCCATTGTGGCGTAGATAGTGACAGGACTAGTCCATTTTACTTGGCTTTATTGATCCGTAAGGACAAAAAGTAAGCAAGCAAACGCAACCCAACCTTCTTCTGCTTTTTACAAATCTTGACTTGCTCTCCTGCGATGATGAATTTCCCCTTGCGTGGAATCAATGTGGAATGTTCGAACGGTCGCGCTGTTCCATGCTTGATGCCCAATGGATCAATTTATTCAATGCCCAATGGATCATTTTTCTATCTTTTATTCTCCTTGTCCCTGAGAAGAATACTTGCATACATAGTATACTATTAATACTGGTCCCTACAATACATACGAACTTACCGAATTGCTGGGTCTGTCACTGGGGTGAACATGTAATTACCGGGAAGTACGATGTAACTTAACAAATGGTGAATTGCTATAGTAAGTATACCTAGTCGGTTCTATCTACAATAACTATAGGGAGAGAGTAAGTAAGAAGTAGTAGATATACAGAGACACTATTATCTAGATACTCCGTACTCCGTTCATACCTCAGCTCATATCAATTACCATCCAAATATACCCTTCCCTCACAATAACAAATACCAACCTCACCAAGTTACACTCTACCAGCAAAGCACACCCCCCAGAATTGTACATAACTACATATCCAAGTAACTATACTATCCCAAAGAAGTAAAAGAAGCAGCAAGCTTTGACAGCCATCCGCTCCCAAGCTACACAGTACACAGCTCAAGTAACTAAGTAGCAGTGTGTAAGTAAGTATGAACCTCCATCCCGCACAGACACCCCTCCATCCGTCCATCCACATCCATACCCCTAACAACCATCCCATCATATACTATACTAGTCCCATGAAGGAAGGAGCACAAGATGTAACCAAGCTAAGCCCGCCAACATGTAACGCGACAAAGTCTCTCATATCCTAAACTACTTACACAAATTACACCACTACTACTCTACACTGAGAAAGAAAAGAAAGAAGGTTTCCCACCAAGGCAACGGAAGCATAGTAAAACAGAAAGAGGAGGAGGTGGGGGGGGGGGGGGGGGGGGGGGGGGGGGGGGGGGGGGGGGGGGGGGGGGGGGGGGGCAGGTGACACACGCACACACGGAGGGTAAGTATTATTCCTTATTCCAAATGCCAATCCCACCCAACGCCACCCCATCATCCAGCATACTTGGCTGACTGGATGGCGTTCGGTATGGCTGACACGGGCCAGAACCATTGGTTGAGAGGGCCAAGGGACTAGGTAGGGTACCTGACGCCGTGGCTGAACCGTAAGGCTGATGGATGGGGGGGGGGGCGATCAAAACCAAAGCGAAAGTAGTAGGTAGGTATAGGTAACCAAGAGGTGAAAAACTAAGGGGGTGGCCACTTCTCCCACACTGTCAAAGGGAAAATAAGAAAAGAAAAAGAAAGGAGGGAAAAGAAACTAAGGTTGATTGATCGATCGATCGACGCGACTAGAGCAAGTAAGTAATAGCAGTACCTACCTGAGTAAATGACGGCGGTTGCAGAGTTAGGTTCACCGGTTGGAACTAAAAGGGGTAGTAGGTACTAAGTAGTACTGTAGGAGACATGTGATTGTGTATGTCAATGGATGGATGGATTTTTGGAAGAAGCAATAGGTGGCAAGGTGAGGGATATTTTGGGTAGAGTGAGAGACTTCGAGAATTGTTCTAGTCGCTGACCGTCCATGACAATGTAGAGTGTGTTTGCAACATAGTTCAGGTAGCTCGTGGTCTGTTCCATTCAGGATGCATTGTACTGCTCCGACAAAGATTTCGCGATCCCTAATCCTAGCTAGATGCAAGTCATACGAAGGTATGATCGATCCCGATGCTATGCATATCATCCGTTGCGATCGCGATTAAGTGCAGCGAAGCTATACTGAATCGTCAGTCACTTATGAGAAGCAGGTGATCTGTCACGGCTATGTCCTATCTCCGATGCATCTAGCCGCCATCAGTCGTTCTCGTTCTCTTTCAGAAGGGTCTGCCTGTCTGTCAAACATATACAGCTACTAATTCGATAGGACGAATCAAGTGCCATTACTGGCATGCAATTATCTATGGGCCATTCGGCCAACTATCAATTATGTCCCCTAAACAAATATGTCCCCAGTATGAATCGCCATGATCCAAGTCCCGCTTATTTCATGGCATACACCGTGTGCTGACCCGTTCCATATATTCAGTAACAGTCCCTAAGCACAATGCTCGAACCGTCAAAGAGAAAAAGAAAGAAGAAGTGACAAAAGAAACGACAAGGAATGAAAGCCACCGCAACTCCCGGGCGCCGCCCAATGTAGACAGTCCAGACTCAAATGGCAAGCAGACAAGAAGAAACAAGAAATGTAATGACCTATAGACACGTGCGCGCTCAGGCGCGGGTCGGTTAGACCGCGCTGCTCTAGTCTGCACGATTCCGCTCGATGATCGGCCTTGCGGCTGGCCAACAAAACTTCGAGCTGGACCGAACTGCAGGTGACATCAGACGCAAGCGCTTATGAATTCATGTGCACATCCATTCGGTGAATGGCATAAGGCGCATGCCCAAGTTGAGTGATATGATATTGCTGAAACCTCCTTCGAGGTCAGGGCCAGGTGCTGCAAGGCGAGTCAATATGATCATGATCAGACAAGCGATGAAGCGTAGGTAACACTATGGTTAACATGCAGTGATCAATGCATGATAACCAGTGAGAAACCGTCGATCCAGGGTCCGCTGGTGCCGGAAATGCCGGCAATCTTATACCCAAGTGGGGGAATCAGAGTGTACCTGAACTTTTATTAGTAAAGCGGTCCTAATTTCAAGGCAGTAACGGGATTCTTCATACCCTGAGCCTCCCGAGGCGTTTCCATAAATGCCAGACTTCCTGCCCTGGCTGGTCAGAATCTCGATGCCATCAACCCACGCTCCAGCGCGAACGTAGAATCCAAGTATGATTTCGCCTCTCCGGGTATCTGTCGACTGTTAGATTATGCCCGAGCGTGAATCTTCAGGATTGCAACAATAAAACTTACCGAGGACAAAATCATCCGGCTTCCCACCACGATTGCCGAAAAGCTGACTCGTAGCATCCTCGTAGAAGAACTCCAGACCATAGAGCGCATTATCGTGATATATCCGAATAGAGGTAAGGATCTTAGTCGACGACACAGAGGCACAGTCAAGCAGCAGCAGCTCTGGTTCACTACCTTCGAGCTGCGAAAGGCCCACTTTGTTCCCTCTGTACCCGGTATGACTCTTGGGAAGCTTGACCAAGTTCTGCTTCGACTTCAGGTTGCTGACCGAGTCAATGTTGTGACTCCCGAGGGCGCCAGAGTAGACGACCAAGCGGATGGACTTCTTTTTCTCTTTCTCGGTGCCATACACGCGTTGTCGCAGTTCGCTTTCCGTCACCGTCACCTGCCTTGGTAGCCCGTTGCTACTCGACTCGCTGTTCAAGTATTCGATAAAGCTGTGGCATACATTGTCACCTTCAGCGTAGAGTTCCATAAATGCGATACCCGTCGAGGCAGTGAAAACGATTTTACCATTCTCCACAGGCCAAACCGAAACGCTATCATCCGAGCCCACAGGAGCATCGCCAGGAAGTCGGAAGCAGGGGTGGAACCGAAAACGTAAAGCGTCGAGCCGATGCCAGCTACACTCATCTTGAGGCAAGCACAGTTTAAGGCCCTGCGTCTTCGTTCGAGTCGCAAACGGTTCACGTGTGAGGAAAGTCCGGTTAAGACGAACATAGTCCCTGAGCATGATCCCCGACTCCTGATGTGGACATCCAAAGAGGTGTCCGACTTCATGGAGATGAGCACCAATACCGATATTGGCGGCTTCCCAGCTGGAACCGCCCTCGCCGGAATCGTTAGCCACATAGTCTGTGTCAGTCCTGGTGCAGTCCGACAAGGCGTCGACAACATCCTCCAAACTGGTGGGATAGCTCTGCAGGCTGTGGGAGCCAAATATCGCTAGCTTGAGATCCCCTGTGCCTGAACCCAGAGCGGCGTGGCCAGTGATGGTCTGGGTGCCTACATCCCAATGGGAGTCGAGAAGCAAGACCGAGACGTACTGCTTCTGACCGGGTCGAAGACGGAAATGGTCTTTCACCGCATCTCGTGCGATGCGGAACAGCTCATCCTTGTGGGTAGCAGAGTCATTCTGCTGGGCGAGGTTGAGATCTCTGAGCTCTGCGACCGTCTTGTCGGTCCGAACAACGTGGACCTTGGCCTCGTTCCGCATCTGGCCATTGATGGCATCGCGACGGCTCAAAGTGCCTGCTTGCCATTCTTCTTCGAACCGGAAACACCGACGGCCAAAGTTGTTACGGAACATCTGTTCGCTAGTGAATGCCTGCCAAAGGTACGCCGCCATGCGGTACTTTTGGATCGCAGTTTCGAGACCATTTCCTTCCCGCTGTTGTCTCTCGGGCACGGCGTCGAATGTCCCATCGGAGTCCTTTCCAAGCAGAACGACGAGGTGCAAGGGCGGCGTATTAACTAAGGGAAGATAGTTGATACAGATATACGACGTATGGACAGTCTGATGCGCACTGCCGGAGGAATGTTTGGCTGTGACAAAGTCGAAGCGGAGGCGATTCGGGCCGGGAACCAGGTGCACCAGGGTTTTGAAGTGAGCAGATGTAACGGGCCACGGGACCGAGGGGAAGCTGTCCTGATGGTGGGAAACCGTTACAGTTCCGTCCAGCGGATGTTGTCTTGGGTCTCCTATTTGGCCATACACCAGCAGAACCTTTTGATGGACCTATCGGCGAGTAATGCAAGTCAGCTTTATTGCACCAATCGGTCTAGTAGCCATAATCAGAGAAAAAAGAGTAGCGAAGGAGTACAAACCCAAGAGTTATCGGAGATGGAAATGATCCTCGGCGCATAAGGAGAGGAGGGAGTAGGCGACCGCACAGCCCCATTGACAGACATATTACTGCCAAACTGCAGAGAGCAATTAAGTGGTCAGCCTAGGAACCGCACCCGGTGTGGGTCAGACTTACATAGGCGCTATTCCGCTGCGATGGAGCTGTGAGAAGACCAGGGCGTTGGGGAGGCGCAGAAAGAGGAGAAACGGCGTTGTTGGAGGTGCCGTTGCTTTCGCTAAGGGATGGCAAATTAGGAGAAGAGAGAGTTGGCTTGATTGATGAGGGTGGAGTGAGAGAGCTGTAAGAGGCGGTTTCAAGCGTGGATGATGATTTTCCCGAAGTCATGTCCCCATTGGACTGAGACTCGTTGGACTTTGTCTCTGGTGCCGACTTGCTGGGGTGAAAGTTGGCTTTCGAGCGACGACGAAGCTGTTTGAACAACGGCATGATGGGTGGTGTTGTTGGTTGCTGTTGCTGCTGTCGAAGAAAGAAGAAGGTCGGAGGGCAGTGGTGGATGGGGCAGTAAGTATACCGGAGAAGGCAAGAGTGACCTTGCCTCGTTTTGCCTTTCTTCAGGAGGAATGAGCTGGACTCTTCCAATGGAGAAAACCAAGTAGAAAGTAATCTGCCAGGGATAGATGAACGAGCGACTGCGATTCCAACGCTTATTTCTTTTTCTTCTGTTGTTAACGGCTTCTCAATTACTTTTTTTTTTTTAATCTTCTTTTCTTTTGTTATTTTTAACGAGAGATTCGTGGACAGCTCAGCGTTGACGACAACGAGAAGATCGGAGAAAGAGGAGAGCGACCGTTTGCGGCAGCGAGTGACGAACGAATGGCAGAGGCACCCCGCATCAACCAGAGTGGCATCCAGGAACCGGGCGAGGGTGAAAGTATAAACGAGAGGAAAGGCTGGAATGGAATGGAACGTCAAGTGACAATTGACTTAGCGGGAGTCCATTTAGCGAGTTGGCAGGAAGGATGAAGTGGAATGATTGGGGATAGAAAAAAAATTAAGAAATAAAAAAAAAATTCAGGGATGATCCTAGAAACAAGGAACGAGGGACTTTCCGAGGGGAAGAGGGAGAAAAGAGGGGAGGGAGAGAGAGGGGGGGCAGGACAGGCAGAAGGAGGGAGAAGGGAAAGGGTAAAAAAGGGAAAATAGGGAAAAGGAACAAACGAGAATAATTAATTGGCAAAGAGCAGCAAGCAAGCAAGCAGGCAAGCAAGCATGGAGACGGAGACAGAGAGTGAGAGAGAGAAATCAGGATGGAGTCGATTAGTGCCTGGACTAAGAGCTAATCGCGAACAATAATGTCATTGGTATGTGAGACAGCAAATAATAATGCAATCTCACCTGTCTCTAATCGGCGTAGGCGAAGGACCTAGATCCAGTTACTCCTTTCGAACCCAAAGCTTGTTCTGTTCTTTTCTTGTCTCATTGCGTGGCTTGAATTTAGTGAGCCAGTTAGTTACATACTACGACTCTCCGCTTGGGTTGGTGGTTACTGTCTTCGGTTGAATCAAGATCTGACCACTAATATGATGAACTAAACTCGGCTGAACGACATTGATTATCGGCTCATCTTCCCTTCCAGCCTCCATCTGTTCCCACCTACGTAGAGAAAATCAATTCGAACCCGATCATCGGTCTTCGGGGAGGCAAGATTGTTTCCAAAAAAGCAACACACAAAAGCCATTCCCGTCCCGTTTCAAGGTAACAGTGTGAGAGGTATACAGTAGAGAGAGTGATTAATGTGCTTGCCCACGATGATGATGATAATAATAATAATAATAATCAAATTATCGTTCTAAATATACTAATATAATAATGACGATGGTAATAATTAACACCAATTTATAAAAGAGAAAAAAAGAAAAGAAAAGGAAAAAAAAAAGTAAAATTGGTCCAGGCACTAAAAAAACGCAACTGCCACTCTTGCAGTGGGGCGCATCCAGCTGCAGCTTCTTGTCCGTTGCGAATAGACAAGGATGTGTTACGTAGGCTGGCGGCCACTGGCCAACGGGCGGGAAGAGATAGCCTTCTTGGTTTCACCGTCTCACCACCCGAGACGGTGGAGCCAAGACGATCGCCGGCTATATTTGTCTCCGTTGGCGGTGCTTGCTAGCTACTTTGTTAGCCTCTGCATCACACTTGCTCCTGCGTGCTGACTAGAAATGTCCAGTCGTCGTCTCCAGCAAGTCAAATTTGCCCCCTCCTCCCCTCTCCCCCTCTTCCCCCCCAAATGGGGCTTTTATCTGACCCTTAATGACCCTGGAGGGTTATCTACTCCCGGAGTAACTTGGAGTCTCAAATTTCAGGGTAGACCGGGCCCTCTGCAGGATGGCAAAAAGGGGGTACGTAGATAAGGGAAAAAGATTTCTAGTCAGACCTGGCGAGGATGATAACTACCTAGCTAAAAGATAGGGACCGCGCAAGAGTCAATGCTTTTGTAGGGAGAAGAACTTGGGACCCCTTAAGTCTCACTAACACTAAAGTAGTAAAACCAAGAGTCTTATGTCCCCAGCACGTCCAGTGGAAAAGAGCATGGGACTGCGAGGACGGTACCAAGAACTTCGTCCCAAGCACAAACAAGTAACTAATGAGAAGTTGGCATCGGAGAGTGGTTGACATTGTTCTAATTATGTTTCGTCCTCTTTGCCCCTCCCCCTCTATTCCTCTTTCCTTTTCTCTCGGCGTGAACCGTGTTACAGCAATCAATCAGACTTCCCGTTTCCATGATGATGGCTTCCATGATTGCTTCGATGGATTTCTGCAACAAGGAGTATCTCCGGCACTGAGTAAAGTACTAGACTAGCAGAGAAGGAAAATAAAAGGACGCCAGAGCCCCAACCACCCAACTACCAAAGGACTAAAGGACTAAAAGATTAGTAGTAGTGTAAGTTAGTATCTAATTAGTGTAGTGGTGGTGCCTTCGGGGGTCGTCATCCCCTCTCCCCTTTCCTTATCAGCCACAGCTGCCAGTTTGCCTGGAAGGTCTGAGATTACCCGGAAGGGTTTAGACCCTGCAGCAAGAGACGGGGCCAGTCCGCATGAAGCAGAAATCCAGATCCATCCATCCCCAAACCTGGATGGATCCTGCTAATATCTCTCCCCGTTAGTATCTCGTTGGCTTCCTTGGGGGCTGTGAGTCGGCGCCGGAGCCTGCCACCTTTTCTGTCCCTTATCACACGCTCCCAAGTTGCTCGGACTGATTCGCTCCAACGCAATGTCATCATCCGTCCAAATCCTCGCGAATCTTCTGCATATCTCATGACTTCGGCATTGCTGTTTTGGTTCCTGTGGGGTTTAGTCCCAATCAGAACCGCCCGCGGACCTTTCCTTCTCTTAGCTGTACGTAGTAGTAGCACTTACTTAAGTGCTTACTCTGAGAGGCTTTGAGGATACTACTTCTCTGCTAAGTGCATGCTAGCCGCTCTTCGTACACGTCATGCTTTTTGCGTTCCCTGTTTCTCTGCCACTGGGGTCCCATAACCTCGTCCCGTGTCGCATTATCTCTTATTATCAGTGCTTTCGCAAGCTTTGGCTCGTCTCTACTCCGTAGTAAAACTCTTCCTCTCTTGTTTTTCATTGCACGAGAAACTCCAGTCTCCACTATCGTAGGGCTGGCTTGCATCTCTGTGTTTCTCGTATTCCGCTGAGTAATCATGGGCATTCGATCTGCTAATGAGCAAACAACAGATGATCACTTCCCTTAAAACAGTGATCTCCACTAGCGGGTATGTCTCAACTTTTAAGAGCACAAGGCAAACACGGAGACAACTGTGGCAACAGAAGCAACGGGAAGATGAGTTTAGAATGTCGGGTATCACTGCTCGGGGTCCTACATAGTACATAGTAGTACTGAACGCCCGGTCCAGCCAAACCCGAAGAGTCGCACTGTCGGTCATAGCCGCCGCAAAGGCGTATTTACAATGATCCGCATGCTCCAGAAGAGCTTGCTCTGACGCCTACTTCATGACTTGCTATCTGTTCCAGTCGAGTGATCTCCTGAGCCATATGATCGACACTCAGTCATTGACTGCTGTGTTCATTACACCCAGATGCTGTTGACACTGATTATCTGCATGACCTCCCCATCTGGAAAGTATAGGCAGCCTATGTGTAGAGATGCGTTGGACAAACTCTACTTGTTCTGCAGCGGGCATTCCCAAGAGGGAAGAAGAAGATGGAGTCAGTACGGAGTATACCTACGGTCGGCAGACACCGATCAATGGAAGGTTTGTTTTTGTGTTCGATCAATTGCTGAGGCAAGTGAGGGACGAATTCCTCTCTCCACAATCGCACGGCTGAAGAAATGCTGCGGGCGAGACAAAGAGAGGGGCAAGAATGAATGGATCGGAGAATTCTGTGGCATGTGTCTGACCAGTGGTGCGCTGGTGCAATCCGAGATGATCGCAGGATTCATTGGTTCAGAGTGCCGGCGGCTTCAGAAGCGAGTCGCAGCGTCTCCTTGTGTATCTTTTTTTTCTGTATAGTATAACTTAAAAAGCCTTCACGAGCCATGGAGTATAGAGGATGTAAAAAGAAGAAGAAAAGAAAAAAGCAGAATCATGTCGATTAGGAGAATGAGATGCATCAATTATCAAGTCTGTCACCTGTAAGGAATTCAGCTGCTATTGACGGCGACCGGGGAATCCATCCGTCAGAGAGGGCAAAAAAAAACATCCCTTGGCTCAACTGGCGACGATGGCACCCTCTTTATCCACCACCCGCCCTCAACCTCAAATTGAAGAAACTTTTGGGCCCTTTCCGCATTCCCAACACAAAGACCGTTTTTCCTTTGATGTTGCAGGTTACCCAGGCAGGCCCGGACGACTTTCCATACATACCAGCTATTCTCGCCGCTTCCGTGCCCGTGGGCGCTAAACGAAGAAGGGAATTCCCCAGAGTTCGTGGCTGCTTTAGGCCCATAGCCTCCCTTCCTTTTGCTGACCCGAACCCAAACTAACCTCAACTAAAACCACCGACTAAACTTGCTCTGGTGAGCTAACTACTGCTCTCTCTTACTCACTGGCTGGCTGGCTCGTCACTCCGTTCACCAATCACCAATTGGATCCCATTGCAGACTCCTCCTCCTCTCCTCAGCCTTTCCTCCCCCTCCCTAGTGCACCACCGACTTGACTCCTCCATTTCGACCTTAGACGTGGTTTCAAGCCCTTGACTCTCTCAGGGCCCGCACTTCATCTGCCGTCGTCGGTCGATGCCCACTACCAGAGCTCTTCTATCGGCTGAATAGCGCTCCCTGTCCTCGATATTCCCGAGCAATGGCTCTTACTCAACCGTCAACTTCGGAGAGGACGATCCGCAAAATTGACATTGCCCAGGTATGTGCACTTTTCTTGCTCTATATGATGTGGCCTGAGATTTTACTTTTACCTTCTCTCCCTTGTCCGTCCAAGCCAAGTCTAATTGAATGCGTTTCTTTACCACTAGGTGTCCCTTAGCCTCCAGGATCGTTTAGGCCTCGCCAAAGTCAAGTATCAGAATGGACGTCTACAGGCACTCGGACCAAACCATAATGGCGGAATACAGGTGTGCTTGGGGAGTGACAGGCCGTCGGATTCTTCGTCGGAGGTCTCGCACAGCCGGAGTGAAACCCCATTGACTCCGCCTCCCTTGCCAAACTCGTCATATTCCAAGGAGCTCCCTCGATCGTCTCGGAATAGACATGCAGCAACTTTCGATTCAAAGGCAATGCAGCCTATGCTGTCTGCCAGCCGAAAGCGTCTGCGATCCGACTCGATTACAGATCGTACGATCAAAGCCCCCCGGGTGTCTTGGAAGAGTTCACACCACCTGCCCGAATCGTCTCCAGGCTTCAACCGACAGCACCTGAACCGACACCTTCCCCTCCCCTTCATGTCAGACATC